ATCAAAAAAAGTTTGATAAAATCAGATTTGTGGAATTTAAGGTCCTACATGTCAAGTTATAACTTGCTACGTCTCTATACAAATGAGATAATAGATTTGTGTAAACCTTCACATTTTGTAGGAGGAAAAAAAACGGCAAACAAAAATTGTAAGCCTAGATTTCTTTTTTTTTTTTAAACGGTCTCAATGAGCAACTTTTTTTTTTTTTTTTTTTTACATCAACACCACATTAACATTAGAATGCTCATCGTTGTACATTTAGCCTCACAATTTTTATGATTAATATTCACAACATAATCTGAATTAATCTTATATGACAATATTTTATTAGCTTTATTGTCATTCCCTCATTCATCCCCATCTGCTTTTCCTACCCATGTTTTTTTTTTTTTTCACTTGCAATTCACTTAAATTGAAACCATCTACATTTGTTCAGTCTGAAGTAGTTATAATTGCTGTATTGTTCCATGCCCTGAACCCTATACAACAAAACTAAAGTTTGATCTCTTGATAAGCCGTTTAAGTTCGGGTAATATGAAAACCATCGACCTCGCGTATGCCAAACTACTTCCTAAAGAGACGCCAGTCTGGAGTTTCAGCAGTAAATACCGATAAAAACAAGTTAGCAAAGCATTCGGCTTAGCACAGAGTCCGCGAGCTCAGAAATGACTCCATCCCCCATCCTAAGACAACAAACCAGGGCCTACACTCCACTAATTCAAGCTTTTGCGAGTTAAGCAGACTTCTATTCGACCATATCTAATCGATAGTACACTTCATATCATCGATATCAGAGCTATATAAAGCGCTTTACAGCAGCAACCCTCGAGCTTTCGAAGAAAACTTTAAAAGGCGTGCAACTGGACAACCAACCGACTCACAAATACTACACTAGTGTTATTTTTTGCATATAATGCATTAAAGCATCTTGTCTCACACGGTTACAGTCGTATTGTCTAATTCAGTTAAAGCAGAATGGTAAAGACAGCAGGGACTACATTGCGGAAATATGCATGTTTGTGGTAAACAGTCGTCATGCGTCATTACGCATTTTTGGGGGACATTCAATAAAGGTCTTAATCAGTTGAGTATCTAAAACGCGCCGATTCGTTTAGCACAATAAACCTGCCTAACGTTACTCCAGACACTGAACGCACACGAAGCAGCTCCAGCAGTAGCCATGATGACAGCAGAAGTAGGCTAAGTGGACTTAGCCTAACGACTTAACATTTACAGGATTGAATGTGCAACACTTAAACACAGAATCATAGCAGACACTTACCGGTGGTCGTCCTAGTGTGGGTCGCAGTCCTGTCCCATGTGTCGCTCCTTGTAGAGGAGTTGTGTACAAGCTGTCCGCAGAAGCCTCGGGCACACTGACATTATTAGTGGACGGCGGTGTGTTTATTTGTATACGGGCTGCACTGGAATAAGCTGCACACCGTCGATCGGAAACCGCGCTAAAAACACCGTGTTGTTCACCTCTAACAACCCCCGTTAACATGACTTGTCCTGGGACCGAGGAACACCCCTTTCTCATGATCCTCAGAGGCGCAGGTTCCCTTTGTCCCACTTGTGCTTTGAGGCTCGTTTTCTCTCTAATCCGAGCGGGAGGATATAAAATAATCATAAATGATGAACGCGCACAGTGTTAGGAACGCATCGCTGTAATATGAGTGAAATTGCTAAAGCCTAAGACACCCGATGTAAGCGATTAAAATGCGCTGCAAACTCCCTCTCGCTAGAGCGAAAAATGGCTCCAGGAAGCGGACAATGAAGTAGGGGATGAGGTTTACGCGCGAAAGGTCCTCCCGCGAAACTCAGATTTCCCGGGAAATATTTGAAACGGATTTGCATACGCGAAATCATTCGCCAGCACCGTTCTGTTTCCCGCCCTCAAGTGCTGACGTGTAGGTATAGTGGCGCCAATGAAAACGCAGGATGGCAGATATTTGTTAAATACACCGGTTTGTCCTCTAGAGGGCGTTAGATATCCGACACATTCTTAGTGCACTACATAGGCTGTTTTAATCAACTTTACTTTACTTTACTTGTAGTCATTTAGCAGACGCTTTTATCCAAAGCGACTTACAAATAAGAAAAAGTAATTAAAGCTAAAACTCTATAAATACTATATATATATATAACTGAAAAATACATCGAACAGACGCGTAATTCTAACAGACACGTAAAC